GAAAATATCCACAAACCCTGATCACAGATGGGATTTTGAAGGCTGAGCAAGTAACTCTACAAGAATTGCGCACAGTTTAACCAAAAGTGAAAGAGGACAACTTACTAGTCTTTGTTTCAACGTTTAACCCGAGAAAACCAGATTTATCAAATACATTTGTGAATAACTTTCCAATTCTTAGAAAAAATCAAAGAATGGAGTCTGTTATTAACAAAATCAAATATGTTAAATCAAAAAGACAGCCCAAAAATTTGAAAAGTATTCTGAAAAGAGCCAAGTTCTTAACCCAAGAGAATAACTGCCAATTACTCAAATGTAATGACAAACTCTGCGGGTTATGCAAATATCTGATTGAATGGTCATCTTTTAAATTCTCAACGGGTCAAACATTTAATTTACTAATATGACATGTGCTAGCAAGTTTGTTATATATGTGATCACATGTTGTAGATACAACGAGCTCTATATTGGCTGTAGAAATAATTTACGGAACAGAATAACCATTCATAGACAACAAATCCGGGATCCTAAAACGAGAATGATTCCGTTGAGTGAATACTTTGATGTCTGTGCAAGGGGAATATCCCCAAATTTTATGGTATTTCCATTCTACAAAATGTTCAGCCAAGACAACCTACTAATGGGAATCAGTAAATATTTTATTGAGAAGATAAAGCCTAAATTAAAGGGATTAGTTTGATCTTTATGTATATTTTGTTTATTTTTCTTTTTCTATTAATGTAAATCCATCATATTAATATATCTCCTAAAGACAATATCATGACGTCATATTGTTGTTTATTGTATTGTTGCTATGCCTTGAAAATATGAAATTGAAACATGTTGGCAGTAAAAATTAACTATCTTTATCGGCGTTATTGATCTCATTTATTTTTTTTTCAGGCTGATAATCTTTGTTTAAAAAGTGCTATAAATATCTGGGTATTGCCTACTGTCTGTGATATCCATGCATAGCCTAGGCCAAAGTTGAATAACAATGTACTCACATTCGTTGTCCATGTTTTTAATTTGTTTCGTTTCATTTTTAAAATAATTTTGATTCCATAATATTGACGTCAACAAAAATTCCGTCAAATTGAATAGTTTCGTTTTCTAGTATGGAAATCTACGATACTTAAATTTAACAATGCTCATTCTAGCGCCTTTTTTTTCACTCCTGTATGCCGGTTGGCAGCGGTAGGCGGTTGGCTTTTAAAACCCACCCATGTTTTTCGCTAAATCTAGATTAAATAGCATAGAATACACATTTTTTGGCAACCTACAATCATCCATAGTTAACAAATTGATCCGAGACTAGAACTCACAACCACCATTTGTTCGATGAAACCATGCAGATGACGTCATATACAGATTTCATCGCTCTAACTGAATTATTGCTGCTCGCT